TCTCCCATTCTTTTATTCTTTTTCATTCTCTCTCTTCCATCCAGCCAAACTTTGGCCTAAGCAATCCTGTTATTTCCCCCGCACCCAGGTTTCTCACACAGAGGACGAATGCCTGCAGTTTAAAGCTCACCAGTTTTTCGAAGTTGGTCTCATTCAGCCGGCATCCGTCACAGTCTACGACTATTACACCATAGGTAACAGATCGCAGCTCTCCTCACCATTCAAGGCACCATGGCTTCAATTCTGCTCTGGGTTACATTGGTATCATTACCTCTTGCAGTCTTTTGCTGCAGTACTTAGGTATCATTATCCCCGTGTCACAGTGGGGATGCACTGAGATGTTAAGAGACTTGCCCTCAGGTAAGCCCTAGACAGCTAGTAGCACAGCTGGGAGCAGATTGCCAGTTGAGAGCTCTAAGTACAGCTTCTGCATACACAGTCCCCTCCCACCAGTGGAAATAGAACCCAAGCGTCCTGAATCCCAATCTCCTGCTCTACACTAGCTCATGCTCCCTTCTCGACTTTTCCAGATTACTGTACCCCTTTCAGGAGTCGGATTTGCCGTGCGTACCCCAAGTTTCACCTCACTTAAAAACGACTTGCTTACAAAATCAGACATAAAAATACAAAAGTGTCCCAGCCGCACTAGTACTGACAAGTTGCTGACTTCCTCATTTTTTACCATGTAATTATAAAATAAATCAATTGGAATATAAATATTGTACTTACATTTCAGTGTGAGACGTGAGCCTGTTTTCACTTATGAGCCTTGTCATTTGGTGCTGGAGAGCGGCAGCTGCTGGCCAGTTCCCAGCTCTCAAGGCAGCGCCGCCGCCAGCAGCAGCACAGATGTTAGGGGGGCATGAGCTGCTGCTGGCGGGAGCGCTGCCTTCAGAGCTGTGCGGCCAGAGAGCGGCAGCTGCTCGCCGTGGAGTTCATGTTGTTGGCGGTGAATGAGGACTATTTTTTCAATCCTGCTCTCATCCCGCCCCACAATATCTACTCCCACTCCTGCATTGTTTGTTGAATTTTTATCCTGCTCCCACTATTATGGTAGCAGGACATGTGGGATCCCAGTCCCGCTGCAGGGCTCTAGAGCCTGTTGTAAAACTAGGCAAATATCTAGATAAGTTAACATACCCCCTGGAAGACCTGTGCAGACCCCAGGGTTATGTGTCCCCCTGCTTGAGAACTACTGAATTAGAACACAGGGGTTTTAGACTCATAGACTTTAAGGCCAAACAGGACCATCATGATCATCTAGTCTGACTTCCTGCCCACCTCCCAGTTCCTCCTGTTCTAACATTACCCCATGTTGGAAGTATATGGTCACGCTCATCGCCTTAACACACCCATGCAAAGGCAGACAAAATAAAAAAGGGAACCTCAGACTACTGGCAATAATTATCCTACTTGCCATCTCCCCACCTTTTACCTCCAGAGGTGAATTTGCTGCTAACGTGATTAAGAAGGTGTCTCCAACAAGCACCAGCCCATCATTTAAAGTTGATGGTTTCCAATAGCTAAGAAAGTCGTTCCCACAGACTGCTTCTCCCTTCCCCAGGGTCACTCAGTGGGACTTCTGCTTGAGTAAGGGCTTCAGGGTTGTCTCCTAGGTGCTGTAAACCGCGGCTGTTGTTCTGCAGGAAGGGGAATGATCCGTGTCTCTGATCTTTCTCTAGATGACCGATGCACCAAGTTCTACCGCCTGTCTAACCAGAGCGGGCTCTTCAATAAGATCTGTTACGGGGAAGTCTGCCGGTGTGCAGAAGGTAAGGAGAGTCCTGTCTCTGCTTACATCTCGGGTGGGGGCTCCCCTGTCAGCTTTATCAGCAAATGTGCAGTCCCAGGACTCCCTGTGCATATCTCTCTATCAGTGTTATAGAGGACGGACAATTTATGAGTTTATCCTGTATAAGCTTTATACAGAGTAAAATGGATTTATTTGTTGTTTGGATCCCATTGGGTGCTGGAGACAGAAGTACTTGCTGAGCTGTTTTCAGTTTAATCTGCAGCTTTGGGGGCGTGGTTCAGACCCTGGGTCTATGTTGCAGCAGGCTGGCCTGTCTTGCTCAACAAGACAGGGTTCTAAAGTCCCAAGCTGGCAAATAAAACGGGCTCAGAGGTAGTTTCAGCACTCAGGTGACAGTCCCAAGGGGGTTTCCGTGACTGAACCAGTCACACCGTGGAGTGGGGCTGCACACATTGAAGCAGGGCAGTCTGGGATGCAGGAGTTGCTGGGTTTCCAGCCATTTCGACAGGGATGCTCCTCCCTGGTTATGAAACTTCAGTGGAAACATACCAGCTGTTTCAATGGTTGGAATCCGGCCTGGGGGTGGGGAGTGTGACATGAAGTTAGGCACTTCTTTAAAATATCTGGGTCCTCTCATTCCAGGATGCCAGAGCTGGCACCCCTCAGCCCTCCTGCTGTCAGTTTCAGCACAGAGGCCAAGTATTGAATGAGCCATGGAGGCTCCACTCCCTGCTGACTCTTAGGAAGGGATCCTCTAGAAGAGGGTGGAGACCCACTGGTGGGGCCGTTGTTCAGTAGGAAACTTGCTGTAGCCCTGCTGTCTGCCGGGCATACAGAGAGGCGCTCAGTCTCCGGATCTGTCCTTCCCATCACCTTTGATTCCCCATCTGCAGCTCCACTAAGTCCCGTGACCAGGCTCCTCCTGGCACTGACCCAGGTAGATATCCATCAGTGCAGAGAGGGAAGTGAGCTGTGATTGCCAGGCCTATTTATGGTCCTTGGTTATTTCATATATCCAGGCAGAGTTCCTCTGGGCAACATCTACTGATTCCTTTGCAGAGTGTCTGAGTCGGTCTGCTCAGGATCGCCTCATTTAGACCCTGCAACCTACCCCTCCATCCCTTGTTTCTTCTTTTACCATGCCCCATAGCACTGGCGCTGACTTTTATTTTTCCTGGTGGGTGCTCCACCCCCACTCTGCCCCTTCCCCCGAGGCCCCACCCCCGCTCTGCCACTTCCTGCCCCCACTCCACCCCCTCCCCCAAGGCCCGCTGCTCTCTGCCAAGTGCCTCCTGCCAGCAGCCAAACAGCTGATCAGCAGCCCCGCCGAATGGCTGTGGCTGGTTGGTGCTGAGCACTCCCTATTTTTTTTCCATGGGTGCTCCCTTGTCGAAGGAGGTGGGCCTGTCACTGTTTGGGTTAGCGCGGCTCACCTTTCCCAGGATTCAAATAGGTGGACACCTGTGGGTCACTAATAACAGAGCTGAAACTATGGTCTCCCTTGGTGATTCTCTACCCATCTTCCTTCCTCATAGAAAGCTGCTTCATGCAGCAGAAGATAGAGGGTCCCATCACCCTGTACAAACGAATAGAGGAAGCCTGCGAACCTGGAGTGGATTATGGTAAATCTGTGATTTGGATCTGCTGAGTCTTTTTCCATGAGGAGAGCGCAGAGACAGGGTTCAGAATTCGATTTGGATTGTAAAGTTTGCCTTTGAGGCTGAATCAGGGGTAAGGTCTGGATCTGTTGGGGCAGAAATCTGTTGAGATTTTGGGGCCTTAAACTCCCAGAAATGAACAAGATCAGATGACTGTTTAAGATTCAGTCTAGCCCTAAGTATTTATCTACCCCCCATTTCCCTAGTATCTGAGCACTTCACAATCTTTAATGTGTTTATCCTCACAACCTCCTGTGCTGTGATCTTTTTCAGGGTAAAAGGCAATACACATTGTTTACTGAAGATACAACAATTAGCATATGAATTCAATTACATCATATACACACACACTGTCCCGCCAGTCGATGTTATAGTTACCAGTCCAGAGTCCGGATCAATCTAATGGCCAGCTAGGTTGATCATGGGTACGGAGGAGCCGGGTTCCATCGGTCGTGACACGATGCTCTGGGGAAGCCTTGGCAGGATGAACCCAGGGTTTCATGGCAAGGCACTCTGTTTATAGAGTGATTTTCCTTCATTGGGAACAATGAGTTTTGCACCGTCATGCTGTAATCAATTATTGTTTGATGAGTGCTTGTTTTCTTAAATTGTCCTTCTCATTCTTTATCACAGCTATCTTGTCCCCATTGATAGGTGCCTGTCTCATCTTTAGAGTTGTCAATCTGCCCGCCTCTGACATTTCAATAGGGGCGTGTTCAGCCTCCTGGTGCCCTTGCGTCTGTCTCCGGTTCCTCCTTGTACATCTAGTTCAGCGATGGCCTTCACACATATCTCTTAACACGTATGTTCCTCATTCACACACGAAACAGAATTAATTTACACAGAATATTTTGAACAGGAATATCAAGTTGCAATGCAAAAGAAAACAATCATGGCATTCTTTTACTTATTTTAAAATGCTAAACCTACAACAACGTAGTGAGCTTTAAACATTTGTTACTGCCTTGAAATCAGCCCAGACACAGATTCCGGCTGATGCATCTTTGCCAATTGGCCCATTAGACCATTCCTTTCTCCTATTCAAAAAGGGTGGCTGGCAGCATATGATCAAATCATACACCACTACATTTACTACATGCTACATTATCTCATTATTCTTTATCCTTCATTCTAAATCATACAAAATACAAACATAAAATCCTACTACTACATGTGAGGCATGGCAGTGCCATTATCCCCATTGTACAAAAGGGGAAACTGAGGCACAGAGCGACTAAGTGACTTTCCGAAGGTCATGCAGCAAATCTGTGGTGGAGGAGAGAAACGAACCCAGGTCTCCAGCTATTGCCCTCACCATGGGACCATCTTTCTCACAGCCAGTTTGGGGAGTCAGTTACACACTGAATTCTCTACAGAAAAATACTGCAGACCTTCAACTGGTGTTTTGTATGTCTTCCTTTTTTTTAAGTGTATAAAACCAGGCTTGTTAGAACTGAAGAAGTGGGCGGTTCTGACTACTACACCATGGAAATTTTGGAAATCATTAAAGCAGGTAAGAGTTCCCCTTCTACAATCAGGTGCAATTTCTTTGAATGGCCTTTGGGATAAAAGCCGGCATAAGAGCTATTTCTCTTAGCCAGAGGAAGTGCTAAAACAAGGCTAATCTAGTCTCATGCTCCAGGGCATTAACCTCTCGCCACAAGGGGACAAGAAAGAATTTGCTCAACCCACCTAGGCAGCCAAGCCACGAAGAGGCAGACAAAATAACAGGGGGGAACCTCTCCCTGTGGTCAGCCTGGCACAATTGGCCAGTCTCATTATGGGCTTTTTCAACCTTCCTCTGAAGCAATTGGTATTGGCCATTGTGGGAGTCAAGACCCCAGACTTGGTGGCCCTTTGGCCCAAGCTGCTATAGGGGAGGTGGAGTCTCTCTTCCTCAATGCTGCGTTTTATAAATCAATATAAAGGCAAAGTAAGCAGGGATCTAACTGAGC